ACGGTAAGGTCCTGCCACCACAAGTAGACCTCGCCCTTGCTAGCGCCCCTCCTCTGTCAAAACATTTAATCAGCCCTTTACAACGGTAGGCTCTCGATCATTTGAGCTCAACATATTGCCTCTCTTTTTCTGCGCTCAGTCCGCCTTCGTTGTGTCCTCATTCAATCTTTAAAAGCAATAGCATCTTTTTAGGACGCTTACGCTAGTTCCCACACGGAACACTCCGAAACATTTTGTATATAGACTAGAACTCCGAAATTCGACCAGAGAAGGACGCATCATAACAATGCAGGAGGTAAGACCTCATTGACCTTCCGATAGGAAAAACCGTGATATGCAGCTAGAATTTTGTACAGGAGCTTCAGTTGGATAAGAAATCCAGTCTAGTTTGCTGCTGATGCTCGGTCTGTCTCGGTTTGGCTCGGCGCCAGCCCTTTCTCCACCAGTTGTGGGAGCACTTCTTTCTATAGAAAACTGCCTTACCGGAAGGTTGATCGGTGTACAGTCCACACGAATTTGATGAATCGCCGATTGGTACACGCATTGCCGGCACAACCACTCATCGTCCATTTCGTACAGTTTATTAATGCGATCACAGCCACAACTACCGCATTTCTGCAAGTATTTTGCACTCTATTTGGAGAAAGAAGTACCTGTAAAGGTACCTGTACTAGTACCAGTAAAAAAACAACATACCGCTCCTGACGGAATTGATGGAAGCTCTCCTGGAGGCGACTGGCCGAGATCCTCGAAGGAGTCGTCGTCCACTTGGACACATTCACCTCTCAACATACTGACCATCTGTTGGTAAGTGATTCGATGAGTCTGAAAGTGCAAGTATCAAGGAACATTCTCATTTAATATCGACTGCTGTTTAAATTTCCCTCATTGTTTAACTCTTCTAGTAATGGAGAGCGCAAGCTTGCGAGCTTGACATAGGAGAGGAGGAGGGGGCAACCATCAAGACTGGAAAGTCAGTCTTCACATTTAGCTACTTCTCAAGCTGCTTGATGTCTCATAGAAATACTGGTTTCCGTGCTTCTACCGTTGGTTGGGGTCTTCATTCTTGTTCGCTTGCTGGTTGGGGTGTGTCAGGAGAAGCGACATGACGCGGCGCCGGCCACTTTCCTTCCAGCTGTGGTCGCCTGCCAGCTTCCACAAATGGTGGAGAAAGGGCTGGTGCGCCAAACCCCTCCCTCCTGAAACGCCCGTCCTCAGCGAGTGAAACTCCTACTGCTGAAGGTGAGGCTGCTGATGAGAGCGAAACCATTCGGAAGAACCCTAAGCCGCCAACTATCAAGCCGCGCCTCGACAGCGTGCTTCCATGCGGCTTACCATCCAGGGGTCTCCTGATGAACAGCGTGCTTCATCGGCGTAGCCATCCAGGGGCCCCTGGATGAATGCAGAATTACTCGCACTAGTGGTTCAACTGATATCTGTTCTGTGCGAAAGTTGGCCTATAATGAAGGGGATGCAGGGAGTGGAGCCTCACAGAGGTCCAGGAATCGGGCACGATTACGCAAAAGTAGGATCGTTACCTGTTATCCTGAGACGATCTAAGCACAAAGCAAATTTATGAAATCATACCGACAACCTATGAATGCCTTAACGCTCTGAACAAACGTGCTGCCTCCTTTCCTGTGCGCTGGTTAGCCTTGACTTGTTGTATACAAACTTAGCAGCACTATGAAAAGTTGAAATGTACAAGCCTCATGATATGCAGTCGTTATCACTGAGGTCACTCAGGGCGTGTCAGCAGCGCGTGGGTTTGCTTCAGCGCAGACCCGTTTTCCGTCAATCGCTACGGCTTCGGGCGTACAGTAGTTGGTGGAAGCGGGGACTGAACCACATGCGCGGAACACGCCCCCGACCGACTCCAGTTGATCACGTCTTTGGAAGGAGCACAAGAACCTCATGATATAACTGCCCAAAAGGAACACAAAGCAACGTACAGTGCTTTCCATCTCTGCGGAAGCCGAACGGTACTTGCCACCAAACTCTCGATATTCGACACATCACACTTGGTCAAATGTTTCTTGAACTCCCTCCAGTTGAAACTTTTCTCCTGCCGGAACCGTGGTGTTCAGGTAGACTCTGAAGTGTGAAGGCAATTACAGTCATATGCACGCTTCTTATGAAAACTGTTTAGACTTAATCTATTTAGCTGTGACACTGGCGGAAATGAAGCAGGAGCACCTAGGAACCTTCGGGTTACAGAAGAGTAGCAGTTTGGATTATCCATTACTAAACTCCCATACAAGGTCTTTGACGCTCAGTTCTTTGATGGGGACACTCTGGTACTCATCGACCACAGCATGCTTCCTTGAACCCTGTCTAGTTCTATGGAGTTCAGCAATACCAAGAGATTCATTTACACTTGACAGTAGTTTACAGGTCCTACCAAAGTGACACAGGAACTACACCCCCATATCTCGAAGTAAGGGAAGCGTGACTGCTCAACATTTGAACGTGCTCGCAGCAGCGCTTCTGATAAGGACATTTTTCGTTTGAGAATGACTTGCCTTTGTAGAGCATAAAGAAACGGACTATAGTAGCCACTTAGCAAGAAAGCCTAGCAACCCATCTTCAAATGAAGTATACAGTGCCACGCCCCTCTTTAGCTCCGAGATATGGAGAGAATAATCTTGCTCCCTAATTGTAAGGGTTACACAGAAGTAAGGAGTGTTGTTAGCACGTCGGGTATCCCCGTACCAGAGGAGGAAATTCCGCGAGGGTTCGTATTTTCCAGATTTTTTCGAGGAGCGAGGCTTGGTTATATGTAGCACAGCTCGAAAAAAAGTACAAAACACGACTCCCTCGAACCTCCTCCTCTGGTAAGACCCTTCCTTTCACTCTCCCAGAGAACTGCCGGGAGGGGGGGAGGCGGGGTGAGGAAGAAGAAGGTTGTTACTAGAGCTCACAAATCAACTGTCAATAACAGTAGGGACATAGGCTGGCGACGCGGCCAACTAGGTTTAAGGGGAGCTCGTAGAGTTCCTCACTAGGAAACATTCCCCACCGACAAATTACACTCCTTATCCCTGAGACGGAGTAGGCGTGGCAGTTGGACATGGGATAGTTTACTTGTGGAATATTACAGCTTGATACAACTGTCATCTGTTTCGTGCTGGACAAATTGCGTCAAAAAATGGAAAACATTGCTCATCAAAATGGCCAGCCACCGCCGCGCGTTATTGCGGGTGCGCAGCCACGTCCGTACACTTTCAGGGGCTTCTAAGTGCACGCTACCTTCCCAATAAGGACCCTCTCAACGATTCACGTAGTGCACATGTGAGACCAGATAGAATCAACGCATTCAAAAAAACTTTTCGTTTTGATCCTGCGGCACAAAATCTCCAACGAAACGTTTTCCGCTGGAGATCCTCCACTGGGGTCCCAGCGTATCACTGTTCAGTTTTATCCTCACCACAGACCGGACCCACCTCAAAAATGTCCTGTTCTTTTCCCAACATCTTTCAATTATTACGACTACGGTCGGCTCTTCCTGCCGGTTAGCAAAAGCATTATCAGCAAACATTCGTCGCGTCGACTGAAACCCTTTGAGAATTCTTGTCTATCCAACGCACTTCATATCCTTTCGTCCTCAGAGCTTCCACCTACAAGATATCTTCTGCACCCGTTGTGGAATACCATTTGAACCAGTAAAAATGAGACTAGCACTACTCCTCAATGACAATCGAATTGCGCTCCAGTGTGGAGGGCAAGTGTCAACGTTTGCAAATTCAAAATGTTCCTTTTCAGGGACGGAAGTTATATCTACAAGATCAAAAGGCTTTACCGCGTCACGTTCTGGAAGGTCCTGAAAACATAATGGTATTTCAATAATCTTAACGTCTTGCAAACAAGGTACAGCATCGCTGGGAGAATCCCAGTGGGGTGGGGTGGGGATAGTATACTTGCTCGTTGGGGAAGGGGTGAACCACTGTGTAGCCTTCACAGCAGGGCGGTTTACAAGTCTCACCAAAATGTAACTGGATTAGCAATTGACAATGGAAACTACCGCAATGAACTAGACGAAAAATCCAAAATGCGCCCTCCCAGCGCCGAAAGCCATCCCGAAATTCCTTTGTTCCAAGGCTGTCTCTTTGATCTCATACTTGCGTCGTGAGCGCGCAGGCCGTAATATTTCGATCGATGGGAAGTCATTATCTGCTGGCTTTCGCATGGGATTTTCTCCACGCGCAGACGGAGTTTTCGTTTTTGACTACTTTGCGTTATGATTTCCAGGTTCATGTGGACTGTGACTTTTCTATCCCCACAAACTCTCTGGCCAGCCCCTGTCAACAAGACATATATAGGCCGCCATTCAAGGCATGAAATCAGCAAGTTGTTTAGTGGCGGCCCGGCGAACCCATTCTCCCCGCCTACAGTTCAACGCAGTTTGTTCGAGACATCAACTGGAATATTTTTAGGGAAACACAGAAAAAAGAAAAAACAGGCCTGGCAAGTTGGAAAAACCTTGAGAAGGAGATGAGGAGAGGGAAGCAAGACAGGGGAAAGGAGGTCGCACCGAAAGAAGGAACTGAGGTGGGCGTCTGACACCGCCATCTCTCCCATTTCAATGCTCTACCCGCTAGCAGCTCTCTTCGCAAGCGAATAACCACGATATGTTATCGTATACATACTATTTTCCTGCACTTCCTTTAATATGAAGTCGCCAAGGCTGAACCTGAAACAGTGAAGTTCTCCAAAAAAAACTTTCGAGCGACAGCTCTCGAAATCAGCAATGCAACTGATATCGCCGCAATCATTCGGGGCGGACAAGGAGGCATGGAATGTGCCGGCGCGGCGGTCTTTTGACCACTGGTTGTTTCCATCATGAGTTGGTCACCTACCGAACACTGCTGCGCGGAAGGTGGCTCATTGCGCCTCTCCTGATACCGTCCTCACTGACTGCGACGATATCAGCTACACAAAGCTGCTAGTTCTTCTCACTTCTTGTCTCGCCTTGGTTTGCACCCGTCGTCTTCACTATCTACAGTATCCTCCGATTCGCTGTGCCCTAGTTCTCTAAGGTGATCACGCCTTACATGACCACGGTTTCTGTTCTCGTACACGTCATCATAAGAAAGTGTTCCTGGAAAAGGTAAGAACCAAATAAAGGTAAAAAGAGTTCTCAGAAATACAAGTAAATATACCCCAATTCGCTGCGGATAAAGGGGCGTGTCAGGCAGTATGAGTGTGCTACAGCGCCAAACCGGTTCTCTGCCATATGTGGAGGCGGGTATGAGAGAATAATTGGTAGAAAACAGGTGCTACGAACGATAAGATACAGTCTTGCTACTTGCTCGCTTCAACAACCCGTTGTCAAGGGGAAGGGAGTCGTATTGCCCTTGTTACCTTCTGAGAGAGGTTGCTGGTGGTCTGTGGTTTCTCCTGGTTTCATGTGTACTATGCATATACGCCCATCCCCCCCCCTCCCCCTGAAAGCTCGATGCGCAGGGAACCAGGGAGTGGGGTCATAGGGACTCGACCAAAATGTGGGGTCATAGGGACTCGACCAAAATCCCCAACTAATGATGAGGCCTGGTGATAGCATCTGGTGCCCCACTAAGCCGAAACTGCGCCGTATGCTTTCATTCTTTTGCATACATTTTTCACAATTTCTTTGCTATTTCTCAGCCGGCAACTGAATCGGTGAGCTTATGAAACTGAAAGTGAAAATTTTAAAACACCAACTTCCCCGTATGTATTGACCATAGTAATAAGGTTTTTCGTGCATGATAGTGTAGCGGATTTGAGCGTTCCTGGGAACGTTTTCTTTAACGTCTGCGTTCTCCTCCTGCTCCTTTGCAGTTCCACGACGTGTGCGGCGGCTTCGGCGCTGTTTCTCTTTTGGCACTGATGTCAAACACGAAAGCTAAAAATGTCTGCTTTGATTATGTTGTTTGAAATTAGAGGAATAATTCAAAAACAACGCAGGACAGATGAGAGCTAAAGTTTTGAGATCAAAGTAATTCCAATAGAACATGACACAAGCGGAGATCGGCGCTGTTCAGTTTAGGAGGGGCATCATGAACTTGCGCTTGTTCATTTTGCTGATCTCCGTTAAATTATATGTCGCACCTTAGTTAGACCTGCTAAGACCTGTTCTCATCTTGTCATGTGTGCTATGAAGTCGCTGCTTACCATAGATTCGATTTACAGTTCGTCACAGAATGCATCATCAATGATCAATGGGAAGCAGGAACATGCTCCCACCAAGCCGAATTGCACCTCGAGATTTATGTTTACAGTTGATCAAGGTACTCTGTGAACTGACTGTCAATGGTAGTCTCGCCCTGTTCCCCTTTCCCGTAAAGAACGTTTGCAGACCCTGTGAGTGAGAACTCAAAGAGTCGAATGTTTCCATGAATCCCACTTGTGCCAGGAGAACGCTGCTGGCCAACCACTGGCAAAATGGGGGGGGGCGGAGGTGCTTCTTGACTTAAAGGCACATTCCGCGAGAAACTGAGGCTATAGGCTCTCAAAAGTGTTAGATGACCCGGTTGGCGGTGAGCCAACAATACACTAACAAAGTGAAAATTCGCAAGAATTCCAGTGGAAACTAGGCCCATGCCTAGACTTTTAGATAGGGCGCTCCGGACGGTTCCATCTGTGATGGCGGGCTTTGCCTTGAAGAAGGGTCATTTTACTCGTCTCATCGACAAAGAGACTTGTAAACTCGTTTGAAGTTAATGGGTCTCAGCAAAAGTTGTGCAGGTTGCTTGTTTGTAAAGTCGAGACAGGCTAATACACCCATAAGAATTGGATTTCACATCATTCTCCAAGTTTAGAGAGGTTTACAGTTCCACCAAATCGGCATGGGAACTTTTCCGCTTCATAGTTCTTTATAATGGTTTACAAGTCTTACCAAGGTCAGAAAAGCGCAGAAAATAGCGAACCACTAAAATGCCCCACCACCCCCTCCAAGAGTGCCCAAAATAGGTTCAGAAATGATCAGACAAGAGTTACGAGTTCACATACAGTTGATATCGCCACAATCAGTAGGGCCGTGTCAGGGGGGCTTGCAATGAGCCCACCCGATGGGTTTTCTACCACTGGTTGTTCACTTTCTAAACCGATCACTATTAGTAGGAAACGCAGGCGAGGTGGTTTCATTACGCGCCTCCTGATAGCGCCCTGATCGAAGGCTGCCGTCAACTGTG